AATGTTCCCTACAGCTTCCACCATGGCCCAGTGCCCCCAAATCTCACTGCCACTGGATGATGGCAGCATGAAATTTGGTAGCTCCCACCCTTGGGCTGGCCTCATCCCCGGCCCGAGTGCTGCTCCAATTCCCATCACTTGAGCCCCTTTTACCTCAACACCTGGGGCTTGTGCCCTGGCCACCCGCTGCTAATTATACTTCTGGGTGGGAGACAACTCCTGCTCTCCAGTCTGGACCCTTCCTTCCTCCTTTTCCTCTTGCTGATCCTCATGACAGGCATGTGCTTCCTGTTACTAGGGTTCCCTCCAGGGGCCAGCACCAGACAGACTGGTCGGGCTCTGGCTGGCTCCCCCTTTGCTCCCAGGTCGCAGGGTGTGGGCAAACGGAGGACCTGGAACTGGGTGCCCATACTGAGAAAGTGCTGTGTCATTGCCAGCCCTCCTGAGGCTGCTGATGTAAGGCTGTTTACATGCTGTCCTGAGCCCCCATGGGCTCAACATAACAGTACCAGCTTTGCCAGGAGCTGAGGAGGTGCACCCATGTGAGCTACCATCCTCAAGGGCACTAGTTAGCCACGCAGCTGCTTCCGGGAAAGGAACAGACTAAAAATGCCCCCTGTGCTCTGTTGTAGGACCCTTGCACCAGATTGGAGAGTATGAGGGTCCTGGAGGTGGAGGGAGAAGGGGCACAGGCAAAGACCCAAGAAAATCCAAAGTTTTAAAATAAGACCAGCCCAAATCAGACTAGAAACAAGGGGCATGTTTTAGCAGTGTGGGTGATGAGTGGCTGGGGCTGGGGCTGGGGCTGGATCAAGGTCTCTGTTGTTGGCACATCTCAACCAAAAAGGGATGTTTTCCTAAGTGTCGTGTGGTATCTGGACCAGGAATTGAACCCAGGTTAGCCGCTTCCAAAGCCACTGCTGGTGTCTTAGACTTGGTGGAAAGCCAGGACAACCCCTAAATTTGAGTGCTCAGAGGCCTTGTGGCTGCTGCTCCATCTGGGTGTTCTCCCCTGCCCCCATGCTGTGTTGTACGCAAAGGCAGGCTGTGTGGGCTGCTACTGATGTGTTTGATCAGATTAAATTGGGGGAGCTTCCTTAAAATATTCATGGGCTTCTTCCTTGCCAGCACAGAGCACTCCACAGTGTGTTTCAAAGCCAGCACTGTGTGGCACAGCTCTACCTGGGGCTGATCCGCTTCCTGACTTTATACTGCTTGTGTGATGTAGAAAGAGCAACTCCCAGCTGGGTTTGCCTCAGCATGGATCCTGCCAGCTCAGCTTCGAAGAGGCTGCTTTGTAGCTGCTGCCTGCAGACTGTTAAGGTTCCCCCAAATCTCCAGAGTGCTTGGAGTCTGGCTGTGGCATTGGGGGCCCTGCCAGCCACTAAAAGGAAGTGGTGGGGATTACCAGGATGGGCAATTAGTGAAATGGGTGGTGGTAGCCTAAGCTAGGCTGCCCATTGAGCCCAGCTCTGTTCAGCAGTCTCTGTCAGCTCATTTCCTCTCCAGGGGTTTAAATGGTGCCAGGTATCCCTGTGGGAGCTGCCGTTTTGCCCGCACTTCCAGCCTGAAGATGCAGGGCCCAGAAATGTGGCTCATGCTGGAATAACTGGGGCAGGAGAGGGCAGAGGCTTCAAACCAAGGCTAGAGGGCAGAAGGCTTGGTGGAAGCGCTACCTCTCCCTGCAGGCAGGCAGTCAGGAGCAGCATATTTCAGGCTGCAGAGCATGTGTTTGTGGCTGAAGCAGCCTCAGGCCACTTGGCAGCTCAAGTCACAAGTTCTAGGCTGAGCTCTTTGGACAGAACCTTTCTCTTTAAATTAAATCCCAAAAACTTGAGGGCAGCAGGGAGAAATGGGCTCTTCTCCTCCCCTTGGACAGCTCTGGGGGCTGCTTACTCCAGGCAGGGTTGACAGTCCCATGCCTTCCTTTGGGGAGCCTTGCCCACAGCCCTGTGGTGCTCCCCTGCCAGAAATTGTTTCCCAATGCTTGGCTTGTCATTTTGCTGGTTGGTTTCTGTTGCGTGTTGCACCCTGTGTGATCCCATTCCTCTGGTGGGATTTCTCCTGTCCAGGCGCTTCAGGGTTGTGCTTGTTCTGCTTCTCCTCCCATGCAGGTGCCCAAGTGCTGTGGATTTATTCTGTTGCTTTTCCTCTTGGATTGGTCTTGGTCATGCTGCTGAGCCTTGGGCCCTGGAATGGAGCAGGATGGGGTAACAAAGCTGTGTTCCTGCCCCAGGCCCCCGGAGGGGCAGTGGCACTATCTGTTGGCACAGTGACTGGGAAGGTGCTGGGCATTACATAGCCAGGGTAGCTACCAACCTGAACCTTCTCTTTTCCATCACTTGTAGCCATGCCCATGCCTTACATGCCAGTGGCATAGAGTCTTGTTAAGCTATTGTCAAAGTTAGGGCAGGCTGCTGCAGTATATGATGGTGCCCTCAAAGGCAAGGGACAGGCATGGCCTGCAGGCCCCCAACAACTGTGTGGTGAAGGATGATTAATTAGGGAATGTGTGTCCTGGAACGTGGCTCTGCAAGGCAAGGGGCAGCCTGAGTGCCAGGCTGGGGCCCAGCAAGCCAGCACAAAGGTTAGGGCAGTGACAGACACGCAGGGCCACATCCCAGATTGCCAGGAGGGGGCTCTACACCATCTGATTACACCTCCCACCTTGGCAGGGACATGCTGTGTTAAGATGTTGACTTCAGCATCTAGCAAAAGTCAGATGCTGCTTTATCACTGAGAACAACTGCAACAGGACGGCTGACAGAGGAGAGGGGTCAGGCTCACTGGGGCGGGAGGGGCAGCCCTGGATTTTTTGCCCTTTCACTGGCTGTACTGTAATGACCCTATGTCTGTTGCTTTAACAGCAATTCCCTTTCTGGTGGGGGCAAGATCTGGGGGTTGTCTGTGTCTGTCTCTGCCACGGTGCTGTTGCTGCTGGGGTCTGGGCAGGAGCCTGACATCCTGGCTGAGTCATGTCCAGGAGTTAGGGCTGACACTAAGGACACCTCTTTACCACTTCCACAATGCTTCTGCAAATGGTAGCATAACTGGGGGGTGGGGGGGGGACATAGCCTTGAGTGCCAACTGTGAGGGGACACCTGAATCCTCACAAAGTCTTTGCCACGGCAGGGGCAGTTTCGTACTGCTGGCTGTAGGAGCTTCACATCGAGCAGTGCACCTGGGGGTTAAGTGGGATGAGCAGAACAGCACTCCTCCCCCCACCCCACCCCTGGGAGATTTTGTCAGAGCAGATGCACCCTGTGCCCAATAGCATTGGGGCGGGGGGGCAAACAGGGCACCAGGTGTGGCTCCCAGGGAGCCCTTGCCCCAAGGCTGCTGCTACCCAAGCCCACTCTGCTACAGCAGCAGCAGTGACAGCGGTATCAGCTGCTTTCAGGGCGCAGAGAGCCCAGGCAGGTACGACTTTCTTTCCTCTTACCCTCCCCTGCAGTGGTCGATTTCTTCCTGCCACTCCCCCGCCCGAGGCACTGAGCTCGCTAGTCCTCTGCGGGTGCCCTGCACAGCTCTGCACCTCTGTTTCCCGTCCACATGCACCAGACCCAGGAATGAGGCCATGAAGCCTCCCGAAGGGAGTGAGACAGCAGCAGCAGCAGCAGGGTGTGCCCTCAGGGTGGCTTCACTCCTTCCCTCCAGGGGTTGGCATGTGTAGAACAAGAGCGGGTGGGTGCCATGTGCTTCTTGTTGCCTCACAGGAGCTCTGTGAAAGTGGCTTGGATGTGGGTGCTGGAGAGAGCCACAGGGGCTATTTCCAGCAGCCTCAGCACAGACTCCATTTTCTATTCATCCCAACCCGTGCAGCGGTACGTGTGATGCTGTGGCAGCCTCTTTGCTTCGGCAGCCCCAGGCTGTCCTTGTTCTGCGGAGGACCAGGCTGCAGGGCTGCCAGATGGTGCAGGGTGAGTGGCTGGTTCTTCTCAGGACTGAGCATGGGCCAGGCCCACGGGGGACACTAGAATCACTTTCCTTTGAAGAGTGGCTTTGTTTGGGAAGCTGAGACCACTGCAGCTGCCAACAGTGCCTGGGCCTCAGTGGAGAGCTGGGAGCACTGGGCCAGGCGGGAGTGCGGAGGGAGGGAGGCAGCCGACTGTTGTGTGTCCCTTTGGTTGCTCAGAGCAACCAGGAAATGGAGAGAAACGTTCTGGCCACCTGCTGCGTGGTGCCAGCCCAGTGCTGGGGACCCTGCCTGCAGCCCTCCGGGCCCTGCCGCAGGAGGCTCAGGGGAGTGCAATTAAGCTCTGAGGCTTTGTGCTCAGTTCATTGTTTTGTTTTGTTTTGTTTTGAGGGGGGGTGTCAAGGGAGCAAATCAAACCCCAGACACTTGGGCAGCTTGTTTGAAGCTCTGATTCCTTCCCCAGATGCGCCCCCTGGAACAGGGTATGAGAGGGCCAGCTGGGAGCAGCACAGCATATGGAGGGTGTAGTTTGTGTCTGCTACCTAGTGTCATTGTGGCAATGGCCCATCTCCCCTTCCCCTTGCCAGCTACCTGCTGCCTGTCTGAGAGTGTGAAGCTCGCACAATAGCACCAGTTTCCTTGGAGCATTGGTGATGCTCCCCCCTACCCCAGGCTATGATGGGGCTCCAGGGGCTGTAGCCTTGTAAAGAGAATGGTCTTCCCGCAGCTCAGTGGAGAGTTTTGTCTATCACTGCAATGCAGCCATTATTTCTGGCATGGAAGATGACAACAATGGCAGTGATATCCAGAGTGGGGCACCCAGCAAGTTGGCATGGGAGGGTATTACTAGCAGCCCCTGCCCCAAACAGAATGCAGGTGCCCTGCCCTGAGCCCAGCAGATGGAAGACGGCTTCACAATGGGGTTCACATGCAGCTTTCTGAACTGGCCTGAGCATCCTAGAAGGAAGGACAAAGTCCTGAATGAAACATAGGGCACTGGTGCCCTGCTGCACCCCTGCCCAGAGATAGGGCCTGGAGTTAGGGGTGTGGGGGAACTATGCAGTGACTCTCCCATTTTCTGTGCAGCTGTGGCTGAGGAGCCAGTGAGCATGGCTGTGGGGGGATGCACCACCATCTACAAAGGCTTTGCCGGGTGCCTGATCAGCCTCGGGGACAGCATGGCCCAGAACGTTCAGAGGCAGCAGGAGGACAGCGGGCAGGAGGTGCAGGAGCTGGACACGATCTGCAGGTGAGTGTAGCAGGGCTGCCTCAGAGAAGTGCCCATGGCAATAAGAAAGATACCCTCTCTGAATGTTCCTACAGAGCCAGGCAGCATTTGGCCCCATATGCTGAGGCGTTGCAGCATGACACCACCTGCTGCTATATAAACACAGCTATACTGCTGCTGGCCACCCCAAGGTGGGAAGTAGTATAGACATGTTCAGGTGCAGAGCCCAGGCTGGTGTGCTCTGCCCATCAGCACAGATAATTAGCCCACTGCCAGAGACCAGTTAAGGCAGCTCTCCCAACCAAGCCCTAACTGGTGAGAACAACCTCCAGCTCTGGGGAGGGCGGCCGTGGAGCATCTGGGATGGTGTCCCAGGAGGTTCTGGGAGCTGGTCCCTTGAACAGGAGGTGATGTGGCAGGCTGGGACCACAATGGGAGGTAGTTGTGCCAGAGCTCTCAGTTGAGCCTCTCAAGCTAGGGATCAGGGGGCCGAGCCAATGGGAAAGGATGTGGGCTCTGCCCTCTGTCTCCCAGCCTGTCTTTGGGTTGGGCTATGAATGGGGGGTAGGCCAGGAGGCAGCAGGGTCTTGCTGTAAGAGGGACCCTGTGCCAGGAGGAGCTGCTGACCCTGAGGGAGTCCATGCCTGATGAGGGAGGGCTGCCTTGCTCACTTGTCTCTCAAGTTCACCCACCAGCAGGGAATAGCCTTCACAGTGTGAGGGATTCTCTGTACAGCAAGGCTGAGATGGTTTTGGCCATAAGTCCTTTGCTAGCAGACTGGATCCAGCAGGTGTGGCTGGGATCTATGGTCTATAGGAGACCAGCTTGCCTGATGCCAGTGTCCTCTGCCAGCTGTCAAGGCTCTGACCCCTCCCTCTCATTGCTCACAGGTCCTGGGATGACTTTCACACCTGTGCCACTGGGGTCCTGTCCAGCTGCCCTGAGGAGGCCGCAGCCATCTGGGAGTCACTGCGCCAGGAGTCCAGGAAGATCCAGTTCCAGGGAAACCTGCATGACCTGTGCAGCTCACGGACCAAGATGTCCAGCAGTGCCAGGGGCTCGGATACAGATGAGACTAACAAGGAGACTCTGCGGGGCTCAGCCCAGCTCCCCCAGCCTGGGCTCCTGGCCAGCCTACCTCTCCTGGCACTGACGTCACTGCTAGCACCCTTTGTCTAGCCATGGAGCAGCATGGAAGCCCCTTGGTCCAGACACTTCCCTGCTAGAACCCACCACAGCACAGACTCCTGGTTTAGTGGGGGCTGCTTCCCAGGCCAAGAGCAATCTCTGCAAAATAGATCCAACTTAAAGTCTGAACATCCAGCACAGTGAGGAGGGGGGGCACCACTCTCTGCCGTCCATGGGGCAGTCCCCAGCCCATTCCAGGCTGTGTTAGTGGCTTTGGGGCAAGGTTCCTTTGGTGGCAGGGACACTGGGTCCCCTGAGGCAAATAAGGATGGGGCCTGAGGCTCTGTATTCCCAGTAATTTTCTTGTTTTTTGGGGTGATGTGGAGTCTGAGTGCTGAGCCTCCCTCAGCCTTGTGTTCATGGAGCTCCCACAGAGAACTGGCCTGATCAATAATTCCTTCCCCACACTTCCACCCCTTTCACCCCTGCACCTCAAACTTTCCTGTTCCTGCCACCCCCAGGCCTACCTTCCACTGAATCTTCAGAGATAGGGTTTGCCCAGGGCTTTCTGGAGATCTTCCGCCCCTGATCCTGCTACCACAGTTCAGTCTTTCTTGCCCCAGAGCTTCCTCCATAGAAAAGCCAATGGGGCCTGAGCCACGCGAGTGGCCGTGGCAAGGATGTTGAGAATATGGACCTCCCCTGGAGCTACCAATGCCTTCCAGAGTGATGTCCAGTTGCCCTTTCCCCTTTGATGCCTTCCTGCTTCCTACCATGTAGTCTGTGTTCCCTTGTTCACTAAGGGCAGCTGCATGATAAAGGGGACTGTCCTCTCCCACCATCCCAGTTACCTGGGTGCCATGACAGTTGTCTCCACCCTCCAGAGATGATGGAGCAGCCCTGCAGAGACAGTCCTGAGTGCCTGTGTGCCCTGACTTGGAGCACTGCTCCCTAAGTTGTGATACAAGGCATAGCAAAACCCTGTGCACAGCCAGCTCTGGTCCTCCCAGTGCTGGTGCGTATGTCCAGCTCAAGGGTTTTCATGTGTCTGTGGTTATAAGGGGCTGTCGGCACAGGCACACTGCTAGCAGGCATTTGCACAAATCAATTTGGAGCAATACCTAGGCACCATCTGCAGACACCTTACCCTGGGTTTTGGGCTTCTGGCTTTCAGAGGTGCAAAGTGCCGATGAATCCCATAGGTAAGATGGAAGGGCTGATGCTCTGCATGTCTCAAAGCCAGACTCTGCAGCAAGACACAGAGTTCTGCTCTCACTTTCCCTTGAGGCATTTGCTGTTTCTCTCCTACCCCCAACATGGAGCCTGCTACGTGGGGCTCTTACCCTGTAGGCTGCAGCACAGTGCAGACATATTCATAGAGTCATAGAATCAATGAGTCGGAAGGGACCTAG